AGATAAAATAAGATAGAGCTAAAATAAATAAATTTTACATTACAAATTTTCCAAAAATGGTTGAACAACTAACTTTCCATTCACGGCATTCATTATGATTTTATTAACTGTTTTAATGGCATGAACTATTCTGCCACGCAAGCGTATACTAAGATTTTTGGCGATTAAATATTGTCGAGGAATGACAAATGCGAAGATAGTACATTCGATATAGCTTGTTTTAAGAATGTCAGAAAACCTTAGTGTCGTCCTCCCATAGTCGGTGCAACGTCAGTGGCAACTGGGAGGTTATTCTCAAGAAGGCTTTTATATAAAATATCTTTCTAATTCATGTATTGTTTCATATTTTGTATCAGTATCCGAACATTTGACAAATAACAATTCTTGAAAAATTTGTTCTTCTTTTACAAATCTCACTTAAACTAAACGTAAATCTTCGTTTCCTGGAAAGGTTGAGTTGTCAAGCTAAATAGGGAATTCGAATGTATTGAAGATCTCACATAAAGAATTTTCTACGCACGAAATGTCTCCATTTTGTGAAGCGGAGGAAACGTCATCTCATAGAATTATTTTCCATATTCTTTTGACTGGGTATCATAAATTTAAATGTATGAATATGTAGAAATTCTGAAATGGCTCCATTTCGTAAATCCTTCTTTGTACTAGAATATTTATTCGGTTGAATTATTTTTAATGTTATTTCACACATTCAAAACATTTCGGTAGAATAACTGTTAAGTAAAATTCGTTTGATTTGTCCATTTCTACATATAACGAAAGGAAGAGTCTGTCTGTCTGTGCTTGCGTGTGTGTCTTTTGTTCGTGCTGCGCGTATGCTAATAGACCCAAGGCTACGAAATTCGGTACATAGGATGCATCTAGAAAAGGGCCAGTGCACTTCGAAGTGATGTTTTCAAAATCCGAATGAGATTTTTTCTATTTTATGTTTTTGATGAAATCGCATCAAATCGATAATTTTCTCTCATTATATCAGCAACAATGGCACGTAGTCATTGTTGCTGATATCAACACTGTTGTCACTCGGAAAAATGAGGGCGATAATTCTGTGCAGTTTTTAAATTTAATTTTTCTCTTGTATACTGGACGTTTGCCGAGCGAAGGCAACGGGAAGTTGGTTAACTTTTTTATTAAGATAATTAATATCTGTTTTAAGGAATATTGCTTATTACATTTTAATTTTTTATATATAATAAATTTTTATTGAATTTTTTTTTTTTTTTCCCCTGACAAAGTTGCTCTGCAGAGTAAAATTCTGCGCAGTTTTTAAATGCAATTGTTAAAAAATTTCGTGCATATTTGTCGTTTGTGAGAAGCACTTTGCAACTCAACGGTTCATTAACAACGCGCTCAGATCGAACGGCGGATAAATAAAATATGTATTCCATGACATGTAAGCTACGTAATCATGAACGAAAAAATTTGAATAAGTTAATGTTGTTATGGTGCTACTTTGGTAGACGGTTGCACGGATTTTGGCGAACGATACGACTTATGGTAAACCCATTGCTGGACAAGTTATTTATGGTAACCGATACATTGTTGTCATTTTATTAAAAAAAAAAAAAAAAAAAAAAAAAAAAAAAAAAAAAAAAAAAAAAAAAAAAAAAAAAAAAAAAAAACAAAAAAAAAAAAAAAAAAAAAAAAAAAAAATCTGAAATGTTTCAGATTTTAAATTACGTCCAAAGGGGCGTTTTTTAACGTTTTGAGTGTTACCTTTATTTTATTAAAATATCATGTTCTTTGCACTTAAACCATAAAATTCAGTTCAAGAGCAATATCGCAAAATAATGTTAAATTAAGCATATCTTTAGAATTTCCGATATACACAGTCTCGCGAGCTGGAGATTAAAAGTATTTTTTTTTCTATATAACATTGCCATTTCTCGCTTTTAAAGCATGAGTTTGTAAATCAAAAAATTCGTTTAAAGTTTTACAAAATATAAAATCTATAATAAAACAAATTCCAAATTTTGGGATTTCAGATGCCCATATTCGCAGTAGGATTTCGTCATTCAAATATCGATGGCTCTATGTACCATTGTTTTATCACAATGCGAGAAATAGACAATCATTTATGCAGATTTTTTATTATTTAATTTCTTCAAAAATAATGCAGGACTCTAACATTTTGTGGCAACAGTTTGAAAAGTGAACCGACGTTTATGAGTCCGACGCAAAATCGAAAAAACGAAAACAATAGTCCTTCAGGGACAAAGCCCCTTTGGACTAATAATGCTTTTCATTATGCATAAATTCCGTGTTTTAAATATTATTTATGACTTCTAAATAATAAAAATGAATTTAATTTTGCATTTTTATTTGAAATAAAAATTTTATTGTTTATGATATTTTATGTTGTGGATGATGTAATGAATGACGTCACATTACTTTAAACGTAATTAGTTTTAATACCTATAAATTTAATCTAATGTTTTAAACATTATTTATGGCTATTAAATATTAAAATACAATTTAATTTTACATTTTTTTAAAATATGATTTTATTATGAATGATTATTTAAATAATTTTAATTCTATGCGTGATTGGTTACTGAATATTTGTGCATTACCGCGCAATTTTAAAATTTTATTATTCATCTCTTCGAATTCCTCAGATTTCAAATGGAATGGATATGTCCGTTTCGAAGATGAATGTTGTTATTGATAATTACCAAAAATTATTGGTATCGGAATAAAAAAATTGCCGTTTGAGACCTTATTTTGGCCAACCTGGCTTTCCTAATCAAAGATTTATTTATTGTTACAAGGGTCAGAGGAAATTTATTTTTAATTTTTGGAGGAAACCTCGTTAATTGCTTCTTCAATGAAGTGCGAGAGATGTGGATCACAGATAAAGATCGTTGGGAGATCCCTTTATTTTTTTAAAATTTTTTATTTATTTATTTATTTTTTTTGTGGTTCTTATCAATATACGACAGGTAAAATACTTAAAAAAAAGTAAGTATATATTTTTCCTTTACTTTATAATTATATACTTCAATTTTTATTAAAAAATAGTACAATGTTTTCAAAAATTCATCAGATATTTATTGCCACATATGTTTTAATGTTAAATTATTAAATCCTATGAAACTTATTTTAAAGGATTTGAATGTAAGTAATATTTTAATTCTTTTAAACGTTGGTATGATGTTTTTAATTCGATATTCAATTTAGGTAATATTTTACTACAATTAAATGTTGACGCAATGTTTTTATAGCGGTGTTTTTATTCTATTTTATGAAAGTAATAATTTAACCTTACTTTAGCAATTTATACTCTTAATAAATGCATTTATTTACATTTGCCAGCCATCTTAAAAAACAACGTTTTCAACAAAAAATTAATCCATTATTTTTAACGATATTTATTTTTTTAAAGTTTGAAATATTTTACTATATGCGTAAAAACAGCATTTTTCAAGATGGCTGACGACTGTAAAAACCGCGCCAACAATTGCGCCAACGTAAATCGCCAAAAATCCGTGCAACCGTCTACCAAAGTAGCACCAAAATATCATTAATTAAGACTTTGCTTTTCAGAATTTTTTGTTTTTTGTATTCTTTTATGTTATTTATTGCTCATTTCACTGTCTTTAAGTCTGATCTTTAGTCTTGTCTTTAGTCTGATCTCAAAATAGTGCGAGTACCTGTTTGATACTGGATTGAAAAGATTACTCATACCTAATCCTTCCATTTGGTAATAATAATCACTTTGGGGAACAAAATGAGTCTGACTGAGAGAAACTTTAGTGGCAGAAGTTAATTCCTTGTTTTCATTATGTAAGAAATGAAATTCTCGAAATATGTTTTCGAAAATAGTTTAATGCTTTTTAAACTGCAACGTCAGTAAAGTGTAATTTAACTTTAAAAAGTTAAAAGGCACCAGTACTGAACGTTGGGAAGTAATATCTCCCCAACTTAAGTTTTTCGATGACTTCAGAATAATTTCTTGCAGTTATATTTAGTTACAGGGTAGCAAATATTTGGTTACAGCCGAAAACATCGCGGAGAAAACAACGCAAGTCGAAAACGTCGTAGTACAACACACCATGGGAGAAAACAAAGCAAAGAGAAGACTTCTCAGTTCTAAAACATCGTGGTACAAAAAATCGTCATCGAAAGTAAAGCGGTTCAAAAATTTCGCAGTTTAAAAACATCGTCATCGAAAATATCGTGGTAAAAATAGAGTACGTACAAATTATCGCATGGACGATAACATCGCACACATGCGTTTTTCAAGTTTTAAAAGCTGTAAATGCATTTTCTCATAATGATTTGGGAGCGCAAGAAGGAAAGAGGGATATTTTTACTTTTATATTTCATATTTTGTAATGACCTAATAAATTTTTTCTGAAAAGTGAGAAGGAAACAATCATTTGGAAATTCAAAATGAGTAGAAAATTAATGTAACTTACAGCCCTTAATAGTATTTTAAATTTACATAGTTAATTTACAAAGGCTATTAATGAATTAATCTCTTTACTTCCTTGTACGAAGGAAGTATTGTAAATCGCGAAAGATTTCCGGGATCATATTTCAACGAAAATATCCATTTGGACCGCTATCGAATGCAATTTAACGATGTTTTTGCGTACCATCTGTACGTAAGGACAGGATATGTTACTCATTTTGCTTTTAACGTAGACTGACAAAGAAAGAAATCGTGAGAGCTGCCTGTAGGATTTATCCGAGTCACGGTTCTGACGTATGTACCCAAATCGCCTTCTAATATGTACTATAGCGGTAACGAAAGTAGTACTTAAAAATATAGCGTTAACATTGTCTGAATTCAACGTTCTGTAGTAAAAAAATTCAAAGGGAAATAATAGAACTTTCTTATCTACATTTTGTAATGTAATTAATATAGATTGCGTAGTTTTGTTTTTTTGTTTTCAGTTATTGAGATTGTGAACTTTAATTGTAAAACTGATACACTCTAGAGAGTAGAACATAAACTGAATAATCAAAAATAATCCTTCAATGTTTGACGAAAATCTGTTTATTAACGATTACTTTTACTGCTTTCACATCTTCGAACAGTCACCACAAAATGAAGAAATAAAGAACATAATTTTTGAGATGGAGACTCAAGTGACATATAAATCAAGTTTTTAATCACAATAGCAAAAGATTTCTGCGCAAAACATTCACTTTCAAATTTTCTGAAAGCAGAAATAGTAGAAATATCATGTTCCACAGACTTTTTGAACAGTATCCAAGCAAATGAATTAGTTTCCAACACTTTGAAATGCATGTAATATGTCAGATTATTTCAATACCAAAAACTTCGAAATATGACACATGATGATATTTAAATTCACAAATTTCAAGATAGAAATAAACGAAAACGTGTACATTCGCAACATCACACATGAGTTATATAGTAAGAGAATTTCCATTTGTTCTTACAAACACACATTATGATTCAAATGTTAATTTTCTCTTTAGCTATCGATTTTATGGAAAAGTCCATATGATACATCTCACTGGATTTTTAAAAATCTGTATGACAAATATCATACATTTCTAATTCAATACAAATCAGATTTAAAATACGTTAGTATATCATTTTGTGCACCGATATGGTTATCGGCTTAATACATGACTAGAATATTAGCTTAGGCTAATTGAAAATGGCAGCTTTATCACACGAGTTGATATAATTTGACAAAAACATTGAAAGTGTCGAATATCGACTTCAGTCAGCACCCTTTTTTCTTCAAGCGTCAATGTACGTATTCTGCACCATTTCTGTCTCGCATATTATAATAGGCCTCTTGTAGAGATGCCCTTTCAACATGTGTCAGTCAATTACTTCTAAGTATTCTGTGTCCGCAGACGAGCATAACTGTTGCAAGTGTGATCGTACATTCTTGATGGGCATTCTGTCTTGTGGTCTTGTTTGCCAACAGGCCTTCATCAAATCATATATCTCATCGGGGCAGTTTGGTGGAACAGGAAGCAGTTTATTTGATGTCACTTGCTGAATCACCTGTAATTAAGAACATAATGATTTAGGTAATTTAATAATCAAAAACATTTTTAAGAAATGCATTTAAGATATCGGTATTTCAGGGCCTACATTTTACATACTGAAACTAACTATAAAAAGTAATTATTGTATACATCAATTCATAGAATTTAAACGCAAAATTCTTGCATTGATTTACATCTTTGCATTGTTAACAAAGAATACTACTCACTTTGTACTAGCATTTATCAGGTAAACATTATTTTCTTCTAGAATTTATCATAAATTGCTTATTATTTTTATATTTTATTTAATTTCATTTCATATTCCATGCTTAGGAGATCAATTTATACGTTTCGTAATGTGTTGAAAATATAAAAAGGAAAAAAAAAGCAAATAACTTTTGTTAGCGCTGCAGTATTGCTTGCTATTAGAGAGTAAAACGTTCTTAATATTCCAGAAAACTCTATGTTTTTTCATGTTTAAATATTAGCTACTCAATACAGTTTTTCAAAACAATTCATTTTTCGCCGATTAAACATTCATTTTTCGCGAATTAAAAAACTGGAGCATGTCATTTTGATATACAGGTTATTGTTTAAAATTTTGTAAGGATCAGTTAAATCGTATGGCAATAATTGTGTCCAGTCTTCAAACAACAACAACGACAAAAAAGGGGGGAGGCTTTTTTGTACCTGAATAAAGCTTTCACAAGCCCAATCAAGATTTACTTCTGTACTTACTCAATAAATTACTCAGTGAGCTCAGTTTCTTTATTCTTATATATTTGTAAATTGTGCATTTTTTGCTTTAAAAAGGATAGGATTATGCTATTCTTATCGTCCGGTTAAGGGTTTTATGCCTTTAGTTAACCTGCATGTTATAGTTATAGAATTATCAAGAATTTAAAAGTTGTGTAAGTGCCGCTAAGCCTAATTTTTTGCCATAGCAGCATAGTTTGTTTACATTTGAAACTTAGCAGAATAGTGGATTGTTACCAATCTAGAGAAACAAAGTTTCGCGACAACAAAGTAATGTCTTCTTTTAGTACTGCGAATTAAATTATGCTTAATCCATTCTCGAATTATTTAAGATATTAAATTATCCCTTATATTGACTCATTTTTTAATTTTTAATGAAGGTATTTTGTGTTTTTATTATTTTTGCCTTGCCGCGAAATGAGAACTTAATTAATTGAATGAGAAATACATCTCTAATGAAATTCGAGAAAATAAATGTTTCATATTAGAGGAAAATACTGTCGCCAGACTGTTTCTGACAGAGAAGAATGTTTTCGAGTAACGCATGCGTATTGGGTAAGCAGCCCTAAATCGTCTGTGAAAAAAATGTTTTTATTTTTTTAATTTCTTTTATACATCATTTTAGATTAATTATAGTATTTGTATGGAACATGTGGCAACGATTAGATAACTCTCCAGATGATATAATTTTTTTTTTTTGCATTCTGAGTTATAAGATGAATGAGATGTAACGCTATTATGTGAACCCAGCGCCAGAGTACCGCTATGGTAAATAAATATAGTGAATTTTAAAAGCGCATTTATTCTGTTGAGGTTTATGCGCTATCGACGAAGTAGATTTAATTCAATTCAGTAAGTTTTAATGAAATGCAGGAAAAAATGCGTATTATTTAATATTCCGTACAAGTAAGCCATGTGGTGTACATATCAGACTTTTTAAACTCTGCTTTAAAAATTTAGATGAGGCAGGCTCATGGGTCGAAAAGCATGAAATACTAACATAAAAATAATTATACACTCTTAAAAATAATATCAATACCTGGTGCTGAACCGGTATGACGAAGAATATGAGCTGTTTATTTTTTTTAATTTAAGTTTATTGCACAACACAGAATATTTGCTTGCACGGCGCTACTGTTTTAAAGGCAAAAATTGTCAAGGCGACCATTGCTTTAGCTTCTCTAACATCACAACACAATAATTACACTTACAATGGTATATTCAAGGAGCACATGGATGTCTCAATGAAACGGTATAATTTTTTCTGATTGAGTTCCGCTTTTGCTGAAGGTTGTCACTGTGTGTAGAACGACCAAAAAGAACAAAGTCAACCTAGGTGATGAGCAGATGTAAAGTCAACCTAGGAGATGCGCTTAAAGTCAACCTAGGTGATGATCAAATAACTTAATAACAACTTAGGTGAACCGTAGGTGATGAGCAGATGTATGAACAAACAAATTCTATTCAGTGGTATAGTGTGTAAAAATAAAGTGACAAAGATGTTTGTCGTCTAGAACATTTTCAAGTGGGAACGACTGAGATCTGCTCATCACCCTGAGTGGCTATCCTGGATTCATCGACTGCAAATTTCATAGCAGTTGTAGAGATATTAGGTTATTATAAAGCAGGAGACTTGACTCGCCGGGACTAGAACCTGGTCCTCTAGAATACGCGCCGAGTGTGCTACCGGTACACTACGAAGGCATCCAGAAAGAAGGGAGAAAATACCTTGACTTTTGTCGAATGGAAAGAGAGTGACAGCGATCGAAAGCGCGCTTTTACTCTGCATCAGATAAAAGAATGTCTGGAACAACAAAAGGAAAATATGAAGAATCAAGATGGTAGAATGGGATATTTCACTTAGCCGCCATCAGTCGGCGAAGAAAGATGAAATGAATGAAAATAGACCAGCAATGTGAAAAGATGTTGGATCAGGAAGGTAGTAGGTACTTCAAATAATTAACAAAATGCGAGGTAAGAATAACCGATGGATATTTGTGTTTTGCTCTAGGAAAAGGTGAGCATCGCAAAGAGCTGATACAGGTGTTTGGATGTAATAGTACAGAAAAGGCAAAAATTTGTTGCAAGTTTTTTTATATAATTTTGTATAGTATCAATTTGAAGATCTCTGTGAATATATGAATTTGGGATGAGCCAGCGTGCATTAATAATTACACGAAGGGTTTTATTTTGAATAACTTGGATCTTTTTTATGTGGGTTTTAGCGGCGTGTCCCTATATTGGACTGGCGTAAAGTAAAGGGAGAAAATATCTTATACAGTCATTGGATCTCAGCCAGTGATTTGAGTAACAGTTGTGTGGTACAAGAATCCTCAAGCGCAGAAAAGCTACAGACGGGCAAATAGAAGTTCCTTCTTTTCATAGGAAACAAAAGAAAAAAAAAAGGGATTTTAAATGAGACATTGGCATTACATACAACCTTTTTAGATTGATTCGGAGTACCATTAATCTTGCTTGTAATGTGCGCATGTCATGGAATTCTAATTATTTGTATATCCTAACATATACTTATAAATTTCAGTTTTGTTGTCACTTGCTTCATAAAAGTAGCAATTTTAATGGATATCAGTATATCTTAGTGGCTACTGTGTAGAGTGATTAATTATGTTTTTTAACAAAAAATGTCCTGTATGTGTGAGAATCGCCGGTGTGTTTTTTGTATAGAATAATCACGCATACCCTAAATAAAATAGCTTCAACTGGAATCTAAATATAATATAACCACCCCATTGAATGAGAAACATAAATACAAAATCAATAGTACGAAAATGAATTAATACAATGATTACTCTGAAACAGTGAATAGATTTTTTTTGCCACTACTTTCATGCTACATATTCATCATTAGATAAAATATGCCTAGCAGTAATTTAATTATGAAAAGCTTTAACAGCAATACTTACCTCGTGATTGGAAAGTTCATACCAGGGCTGCTTTCCAAAGGTAAAGATTTCCCACAATACTACTCCAAAACTCCAGATATCAGATTCCGTGGTAAATTTTCTGTATAGGATACTTTCTGGAGGCATCCATCTGATAGGCAGCATGTTATGTCTTCCCACCTAGCGCAAGAAAACTGAAGTTAAGTGAGCTCCAGCAGAACATATAGGATGCTGAGAAAATTTTGTCCTTCACACCATGAACAGTTATCGCATACAAAACCAGTAGTTTGTCATTACAAAACTAACATCATACGGATAACTTAATTTCATTAATCTGGATGATTTCTGATCACGTCCATTCCTATAGAAATCAGCCAGCTGATTTCATGAATGAATGGATACTCAGCCTTCATTGAACTTGGCTTCGTTAAATAAGACCTTTCAAGTGATTATCTTAGTAACTGAAAATATAACATCTATTAATGTAAAGTCGAGACTAATCAATGGAATACCAAATTTCAAGTTTAAGCTATAATGAAATCTTGGGGAAGATATCTCAAGCCTTCTGTGCTTTATGACGCATTGCAGGACATGAAAAACATTTTGTCTTCTGCGCATGTTGATAAATTTGTCAGAAAGGTTCTATAGTTAATCGTAACATAGGTTGGCGACTGTTTGGCGTTTAACAAGAACAGCGCTTTAATCATTTAGCGATGGACAACAAAAGCACAGGATTACTTTGCGTTAGATGGATACTTATTCCGGTTTATACTTAGGCACCTGAATTTTATCCAAGCTAACATGGGCATGATCATTAGCATAGCGTTAAATCCATCTAGGTTTTCATGTGAAGATAAGGCAATAAATAATCATAGAATTTAGCATCACGATAATCGGCTGGTAAAACTTTACTCTTGAGAATGCTTGATGAAGTAGGGCAAGTAGTTGATTTCAACACTACTGTATACTTCCAAGGTCTGTGGGAGTTCAAGTACAGTTATATCTCATATGATTCACAAATTAACACTGTACGGTGTGGGGCCGATATTAAGTTCGATACTGCTATCGTGAAAGCGCTTTATAAATATTTTGATATTGCATTATATCACTGCATCATGAATGATCGCTTCGTTAACATGACAGTTCGGTTGTTAGATGAGCAGAAAGCCCCGAACTATGGCTTATTCGAAGGCATATCATCGCCAATACTTTATGGATGAATTTAAACGGATTGGAATTTTGTGTTGCCTCATATTACTTTTCTGTATGTTCTTCCGGAGAAATTTGGAGACATTTACAAATCAAGAAATAGCTGCTAAGTTCAGAAATGACCAGAATGTTCTCAACGATCAAATAGCTTAATAACAAGATTAGTTATTCCTGAAAGTCTAAAAATGTTTTCTTTCCTGTTCTAATTAAATATATTTCTCAATGTATCTAATAGCATAAGAATGAATAATTATTCCTGAAAGTCTAGATGCACTGGCAACAAACTCATACACTGTTTCATTTTTTTTCCTGTTCTATGTAAATGTAGTCCTCAATGTACGTTTCTGAATAATGTTTGCAAAAATGTATCATAGTTTTCAACAGTACTGAACACTAAATAATTTAGATTTTCTTTCCATAAATTCCATAACAAGAATTATATGCTCCTTATAAATATATATAAAGACACATTTTCAAAACATTTTTATTAGTCTGTAATATAAGTCCGTTTCTTCTTTAGTTTAGCCTAAAGAAGAAAATATGATACATGATACTGATCCTGATAACTTTATTTCAAATATTAGCATATCTGTTACTAATTTATTTTCTTTCATTTTGTCTTTCAACCAGTAAGCACGACAAATATATTGTTTGCTGTTTATAATACAAAGGGCCGCCTTCAGTTAAATAGTTTTTAACATACTTGTATGTATACTTGTATACTTGTGGAGTCATAAAAAAATCTGACACGTAAATATTCGTTGTTTAGAAAGTAGAAAAGAATAAAAATTCACGTATGGGCATTAAATAATAAAGATAATGTGAAATAATATTTTGAAAATTGAAAAAAAAAATGAAATGCGTTGGGGAATTTAAATTCATAAATTTAAGAAGTAATCTAATACCTGAAAGGAACAATTCGTTGAAATGTTACTGTATGGAGGCATCTAAATTAGTCAACAAACTCTTATTTTGATATAATTTCAAAATATGAAAGCAAAAACTTTAATTTAAGGTTGCCATTTAAATAATTAGTCCAAAGGGGCTTTGTCCTTGAAGGACTATTGTTTTCGTTTTGCGATTTTGCGTCGGACTCATAAACGTCGGTTCACTTTTCAAACTGTTGCCACAAAATGTTAGAGTCCTGCATTATATTTGAAGAAATTAAATAATGAAAAATCTGCATAAATGATTGTTATATTTCTCGCATTGTGATAAAAAACAATGGTACATAGAGCCATCGAATTTTGAATGACGTAATCCTACTGCGAATATGGGCATCTGGAAATCCCAAATTTGGAAATTTGTTTTATTATCGATTTTATTTTTGTAAAACTTTAACGAATTTTTGATTTACAAACTCAATGCTTTAAAAGCGAGAAATGGCAACGTTTTATATAGAAAAAAAAATACTTTTATCTCCAGCTCGCGAGACAGTGTATATCGGAAATTCTAAAGATATGCTTTTAATTTAACATTATTTTGCGATATTGCTGTTGAACTGAATTTTATGGTTTAAGTGCAAAGAACATGATATTTAATAAATAAAGGTAACACTCAAAACGTTAAAAAAACGCCCCTTTGGACGTAATTTAAAATCTGAAACATTTCAGATTTTTTTTTTTATGAAGTTAATTCAAGTGATAAATTTTCAAAATAATTTTATAACATTCGTACGGGAATTTTGCTCTTCATGAGCAAAGTGGCTATTTATTAGTATAAAATAATCTCTCAAAATTTACCCCGAGTTATAAAAATTAATTTTATAGAATAGTGTAAGGTGAAAGAGTTTAGCATAAGAAGATTAAAAATCCAAAACACTTCTGATAAATGAAATTATTTCTAGTATGATATTATTCTGTTTCCTTCTCCCACAACAAATAAATATAATTTTCTTTAAACGTTTTACTCTTAATGGTTTATAATATCATCAGGTAACTGGGTATATTTATATATTTACAGAATATGCAAAATATTAGTCTCACAACTATGTAAAAAAATACGCAATCTAACCAAAATATGTAATAAAGTTTAGAACAGAAAGAAATAAATAATTGAAAATAGTAGAATGTCTTATAAATGTTTTAGAAACTGTGAACATGAGCGTAAGAGAACATAACACTGGTTCAAATAGATTTTATTTTAAAGACATAGACTTTTATGGCAGTCTTTTCAGCGATACAGCGCGACTGAATTCCGAAACCTTCAGTATTAAGTGAATTAATTTGAGCTATTAAAAAAAAAGGTAATCTTGTGGAATCGCTGACATGGCTCCTGCGAATATAAAATCCACGCTATATAACGTTTCATCATGTTATTCTTTTGCATATTCTCAAATTCATCTCCGTATGTCATAGTTTCGTGACAGAGGCTGTTACAAATGTACTATTCGTAACCATGTAAGAATGTTTATACAAGATAAATCTAAATGTTATTCGCAAGCTTAGAAAAGCTAATACGGGTTTCCTGACAATTAATTGTTCACAGTTAACGAAGTAATCCTAAATTCCTTGAGTAATCTGAATGGGAAAGCTGCACATTCAATAGAAAATAATTCCACTAGCTAAGGGGCAAAAACAGTTTTTTTACAGAAATGTGTGATTGTTATTCTTGCGCACATGTCACTGTCAATTGATGGTATAAATAAATATACGTCCCCTCTCAAAATCCATATCCCCTCATACGATACACATTTACATTCAAACACTCCTTCTTTTGTTTAGGATTACTTCAGCGAGTAAATTCATGTATGGAAGCTATATTTGCTTTTTGACAAGAACTTTGATTTCCGAGGTAATTCTGAAGTCATTTATCATGTGCCTACTCTTTTTATAGAACGCTTAAATATGGCTATAACTTTTTCATTCAATTTTTAACGCAAAATAGCTTACCCTGTAGTAATCTGTACTGTATACATCACGAGACATGCCAAAATCGCCGATTTTGACGACCATCTTTTCACCAACTAGGCAATTCCTCGTTGCCAGGTCCCTATGCACAAAATGTTGGCTTGCAAGGTATTCCATTCCTGCTGCTACTTGACAGGAGATGTATATCAAATCAGAAGTAGTCAATGGTGGTAATTTCTTCAGTTCTATTTCTGTCTTTATAATATCTGGCGATCGATCTCTAGAAAAAATTACGGCATTTTAGTATTAGAGAAAATTTTTACCCTTCTTAAAACTAAAATCTAAAAAAGTAATATTTATATTAACTCAAATAATGTACTTGTATAAAATGGGGGGAATATATCATAGCATTACCTGCCCAAGTTTTTATTTCATTTTTCTTTTTAATTATATCAAAATCTTATGAGCACAAAATGTCTGTAAATTACAGCAATATATTTCGGGGGAAATAAAACTATATAAAATATCCTTGCAATTTACTTTATACATGCCATTTTATATTGGTTCCAGGTCAATAATACAGAAATAATTTCCGTTCCAGATGAATAATAAAAGAATTAATTTCTAGTAATTTGGGGCAAAACAAGATACTGTATTTTGCTAAGGAGTTGCCACAAATAAAAAGAAAATGCACATTACATACCGAACATTCTTTATACTCATTAGTCATACAAATAATAGCTACGTATAGATAGATAAATCACAGCACACAAAGCAGGGCGTTAAACAGGATAAGGATACTTCATCATTAGGGGATAAGGAAAGGTTGAATAAAATATCTTGTGTAAAATATATGATATGATATATATGTATCGTGATATTTTTGTCGCGTGAGGTATGTAAGTCAATGACCTTGAGGTGGAAATAGATGGTGTTAGCACGACTACGAACACATGGGAAAGAATTCTAGAATACTACAGTTTACTTGGAATAATGCACAAACCAGTGAGTAATGTGAAAGTTTTGTTAAAAAAAAGGAATAAAACCCATACAGATCGAAATTTTCTACTACCAATGGAAAGCAAAATTAAAAGGAAGTACAAATATTCATACATAACAACTCCAGTTTCTTCTGGAATGTCATATAATGATTCTTTGTTTCGCACTTGTGATTTGATTGAAAATCAAAATGTTGAATAAATTATACATTAATGTCTTCTCTTATATTATATTAGTGTACGTCGTCGAAAGTAACAAAGCACTTGAGGAATATTTACCTGAGGAAAGGAATTATTCCTTAGAGGATTTTCTAGGGGAACATAGTTAATTTTTAGGCCACGTGAGGGCAAAATAATGAAACCATTCCTGCATCTAACCCAGAAGTCAGGATTATAGCTTGGTCAAAATATTAGGTTTCATCAGTTGCATATCTTTGGGACACTACAGTGTCTGTGTAGTCTAGCAGAACGCAGCTTGTAATGTGACAAACTGTGTTCAGTAGAATTAAGAACAATGGCTCATAGGGAATACTTTAAGTTAATATGATATTGCTAGACTGAAATACGATACTGATAGACTTAAATACCATACTGATAGACATCAAAATTACTACACCAAGAAAGAAAGCAAGTAGTAGATCCTTACTTTCCACACAAATACAGTATAATGGGAGGAAGACATGAATTAAATATGCAGGTGGTCTGGCGGAAACAGAGTGAAGGAATGAGCCCAGAGCTACTACCTTTGGCAGCAACAACGGCTGAAATCCGGCTGGGTATTGATTCGAAATAAGGTTGGATGACAGACAAGGGTACTTTATTACATGCGGCTTCTATTCGATAGTGGCGTGCCAGTCTCACGGCAACCCATGGCTTTAATGGTAGAGATAGCTTATGGCCTCATGTTCTCAATGAGTGAGAGATCTTGATAACTTGGTGGGCCACAGTCTAACACTCAATTGTATCGAAGAAATCAAGACAGAATGGACAGCATGTGGTCATTCAACTGCTTGTTGAAAATGGTGTCACGCAAGTCTCGAAGGCAGGTTTTTTTAGAAAGAAACACGAGGTGTTTTTTAGAAACAGACGTCAGAAAAGTAACGGCAGCTGTTCACATTACCGGTTGTGTGATTAAAAGGTGATCGGTGTTTATTTTTACCCAAATGCACTTCAGACCAGCACGCCAGGCGCTGAGCCCGTATCGCATTCAGGAACATACCCTTCGATGGTTCCACACGCGGAATACCTCCATCATGATGCTGTATGCAGAACAGAGATTCATCTGAAATGACCACGAGGTACCACTTCCCTGTCCAGTGTTGTCATTCGTTGAACGATTGAAAGCGAGCCTGTCTACGCAGCAGCGTCAAAGGAAGCCGCAATAATGGTTGCCGTGCTGACAATTTGTGGGGCTGCAGACGTCATCGCATTATTCGCCACCCAGCTGGTAGGATGCTTAGTGACACTGATTGCCGTATCGATGCGCTGGAAGAAGGCATGGATGTTTGTAATTTTCTGTGAGGCAAGAGGGCACTCAAAATACAAGGTGAACTTAAGGTCCTCTCGAGTGGTTGTGGTATGAAAACAGGTATGTGAGACCCTCCGATCGATCCGAAGGTATACTCTATCAGAAAACCCCCGTGGGGTGTTGCCTGGGAAGTACTTGTTAGGATCTGTACCTAGCCTGCCTCAACGACGGGGGCATAATAACAGACTTTACAGAAGGCCTGAGGGCTCTAGGGACAGAGTAAGGCTCGGTAGGGACCGTACTAGTACTGCCGTGTCTGTCCTTGCTCTGTGGGGTCGCAACATTGTGGATTGATCAAGGGCGGGGCGGCTCTTAATTCCGATAAGCGCCTGTTAGGCCGCATTAGGACGGAAGCCGTCTTGTTCCATCAGCGTTGTCCTGTACAACAGACGAGTTGCGGCTGTACAATCCCATAAACCCGAGAGGTCTGCCCTAATGAGTGTTAGTGGCCCGAAATATCTGTTGCAAGGAGTTCAGTATGGCCTTCCTGGATCCATTGATTTCATATTCGTCCTATAGTCATGGGATTCCGACTAACACGGCGAGCAGTGGTACAAAATGGTGAGCAGCAATCCGATAGACTACGATCGTGCCGCTGTCGAATTCCAACAGCTGCTGTTGGAAGTTTTTATTTCTTACAAGAGGCATAACATGTCTTTCACACAAGTAACCAACATTCAAATCGGAATCCAATGAGAAATCCACTGTGCTTTCTTCCCGTTTATAGGAATTGTTACTCATACCTGTTTTGCACGCATACACTGGAGTCGTAATCATTTGCATATCCTTGCTTGTAGTACCCTTCATGAAATTTAACATTTGTTGCTCGCGGCCTTTATGGTGTAGTAGGTTTAATGGCCAAAAGTGCATTTTATTGAACATATTTAATATTTCAAAACTTTCTTTTCCTACTAACGTTTATGCACTTCAATTACTTTGCAATAACTTTCAGTTGAATGACTCAATGTATATATATTTTATATCTAAGCATATAACACACGTTCGGCTCAGAGAATATGCAGAACGAAAACTTTTTTTAATAAAAATGACGTAAAATACGTATTTAAAGAATTTAATATAATCTAAATAATGCCTTTTATTAATATTTACTGTTTTTTTAAATAAATATTAATTACTGCTTTTTTTAAACTATATTGTAGAGACATAAGGTATAGGTTTGGAAGCAGGAAAGATGAAAAATAGCAACCGCTTTCACCGGGAATAGAAACGCGGACCTCTGGAATAGCGGCCCAGCGTGCAGAACCACTACAGCACGAAGGCACGCTAGGAAAGTAGGAGAAATACCTTGTATACCCCCGCTTTTAAAGGGCGACTGGGGTTTTCAGGGTACCCAATCGCCAGATCATGAGTGTGGAGAAACATCCTCATCCAACACCTTTCATTTCGGGAGCCACTGTAAATTAGTTTAGCACTTGTTAAACATTTCAACTTTAGTTTTAAATTATTCGACTTTCAGTTACCGCCCAAGTAGAGGCGAAGTTTATTAGCGTCGAGTTGAAACAATTGTAAATTTTAAAGAATTAATAAAGGGTTTGAACCCTTCTTCTGTGTAGTTTCCTGCTACTCCTGTATCCAGACAGAAGTTACCCACCTGGGCCCTACAATATAATTATCAAAAACAACAAAGCAGTTATTGTGTAAATAACTGTGAATCTTATCAATTATTGATAAATTCGAAAATAACAATTTGCTATACGTTGATTGCGTGGGTTTCTTGAATTTGAGTAAACAGCCTTTGGTTACTGTTACTAATCAATTTCTGTCTTACGCCTCCTTTCTACTGAAAGAGTTTACCAGCTTTAGCTTTGCTAACCGCATTTGTTTCATGACTATTTAAGGCCGTTTAAAAGCTTTAGGTGCATTTAACGTTGTACCTAATGATTTAATTTGACGGGAGCATTTGTTCTACATTACCCTCAAATAGCAGCTAAATTTCCATATTTTTCTAGCTTATGGAACCGTCAGGCCTGATACGTAAACAAGCAGCTTAATTTAAACTTTCATTTTATTTATTATATTTACTGTATTTAGGACGTAAGTTGGGGGGGGGATAAATTGTCTGTCTGTTTTTATGGTTCTAGCAGCTAGTAATTAAAGTAGCGCACATTCGTTAAAGCATAATAAAAAAACTATTTGACATATCACGGATATATTTGATAAGAAAAGAATTGTTGAAATCGTTTTCATTGCTAAAAATCCTTTTTGTTTACTTCATTCATTAAAGAAAAATGTTAAATTAAAACTGGTAAATTAATTCAATTTACCTATTAAGAAAATAACAATATGAAATAATTTATAAAATTCGAGAAAATGGAACAGAAAATAAATGTTTCAATAAGCAATAAAAACTGTTAATTTTATACTCTATTTTGTATTAGAATATCATGCATACCGAATTTTATGATTGCATTTATATAACTCAAGCTTCAGGGAAAGCATTTGCAGACTATCTAATTTCAATTTGAAATACATTCCAAGCAGCATACAAACATTATTCGTATATAATTAACCTGAGATAGATTTCAAACTGGATGTAATTTTAAAATCCAGAATTATATAAATAAGAAAAGCAATAAATGTCCATTCACAGTGCCTTTGTTAACGATAATTGAAACGTAAATGATATCTTGACTAGAGATCAGAAAATAAACTCGAAAACAAATTCACAGGAGACTAATTTTTATCATTTTACCTTAAGCGTCTGAATAAAGACTAGGCTTGTTATTTTAATTA